ATCACCCTCCTGTCCTCAGGTGTGGATGCTTTACCCCAGAGTTTGGTGTCATCGGCAAACTTGGCCAGTCCACTTCTGACACCAATGTCCACATCATTGATGAAGATGTTAAATAGTATAGGCCCTAGGAAAGAGCCTTGAGGGACCCCACTGGTGACCGTGCACCAAGACGATTGGTTTCCATCAACCACCACCCCCTGGGTCCTACCACAGAACCAATTCCCCAGCCAGTGGATCGTGGTGAGGTCGAGGCCAAAGTTAGCCAGTTTAGCGAAGAGGTGATCATGAGATACTAGATTGAAGGATTTTTTAATGTCAAGATATATGACGTCAATCTCTTCCCCCTTGTCCAGGCGATAGGTCACCTGGTCATAAAAGGAAATGAGATTGGTCAAGCAAGACCTACCCGCAACAAACCCGTGCTGGCTATCCCTCAGTATATTGCCTTCAGCTAGTCTGTTAAGGATGGCCCCTTTAATCTTTTCCAAGACCTTCCCCAGGATAGAGGTCAGGCTGATGGGCCTGTAGTATGCCGGATCCACTTTCCTCCTTTTCTTGAAGATAGGCATGACATTGGCCCTCTTCCAATCTTTGGGCATTTCCCCAGAGCACCAGGAGCTCTCAAAGATCCGTGCCAGGGGCTGAGCTACGATGCTTGCCAGCTCCTCGAGTGCCCTTGGGTGTAAACCATCAGGACCAGCTGACTTAAAGGTATCCAGCCTGTCAAGGTGTTCCTTCACGAGGTAAGCTTCAATGGAGGGCAAGGAATCTCCCTCACCCGGGCCTCCCTGACCCACAGTGGGCAGGGGCATCCCATGGGACTGGTGAAAAACTGATGCAAAGTACCCATTTAGCAAGTTCGCTTTTTCCTAGTCATCGGTTGTCAGTTGTCCCGTCTGGTTTAGCAGGGGTCCAATGTTGCCCTTGCTTTTCCTCTGGCTCCCCACATATTATGGAGATAAGCACCCTGTAAATACTTCTTGTAAGAAAAATACCATGGATATTTATTGAGCTATAAACATGTACATCTTAAATGGTTCCATAAAAACTCTATGTACAAATTACCAGTGCAGTACCCCTGTATACACATATCCAACAGAATGAACAGGGAAGAATTTGGAGTCCTGTTTTGCATAAAGTGTTGATAGCCAAAGAAGAGGATACTCCAGAGGAGAGATTTCAGAACTTTAGAAATTACTTCCTCTGGCAAGGCTACAGACCTTTTGAAAAGCATGTCATAGGATTCTTCCCAACATTTAAGGATTGAATGATAATCCATCCTTGCAGAACACTGTTTTTTCTTTTTCTTCTGAGCTTTCCTAGAAGCTCAGCAGGGGGTAGCAGTCCCTTGTTGTTTATTGTATTTCTTTAAATTTGTGTTAAACCCACAAATTAACAGCTAAATTTGTATTCTTAACATTTCCATGTAAACTGACTGACATCAGTGTATCTGGCCCCTTTCTCTGTATGTTTTTTGTGGGCTAAACTAAATAACTACTTTTACCTGTCTGATGTTAGGTACCAGTTTTATTGTTTTAAATCTAATGGAATGTATCCTTTGTTGAGTTCAATATCAACTGAATTAAAATTTTCTGTAAAAATATTCATACCAGAGCACATTCATATTCAGCTCTATTCAGCAGTAGCAGCAGTAGAAAGTGTGTTGAGGTATACAAGATATTAATAGGAAAAGATATTAGACAACATTCCCATGATATTAGATATTAGAAGTTCCCATTCTTACTGCCCAGGATAGAGTAGCAATGGCAACATCAGTGAGAAATTTTAGCAAATCTTACTATTGTAGACAAGGTCATCGAGCTCATTGCTTCAAGGAAAAAGGCGCATAAGTATTTAAAGTGGCAGTTAGATTAAATTAAAGTGCCTAAACCTAAATTACAGTCAACTGCCACCTAAATGCAAAGTTCACAAGCTTCAGAATCATCTCACTTTTCAACATTAAATTTTCTCAAGTACCCAAAATTTTGTTTTTGCAAGTAACCAGGAATGTTTCAGCCTTCGCAAGACCGAACACCTTGGCACCTATCTCAATCCAAAATGAGGTAAGTTCAATTATTTCTTCTGTAAGGGGATTCAAATTCACATCTCCCACATTTTCGCCTAAATGCCAGAAAATAGATTATTACAGAGTGGATGTCAGTAAAGGTGGAAGCGATGTTCTCTACCCCTCCTATTGAAGCTGTTCCACTTTGCAAAAAAGAAAGATTCATTGGGTTAGAAAGAAGTAACACAACGCTGTAATTTAGTTGTTAGGGATCCTTAATGTTGAGGGAAACCTGAGTTCTACTCTGAAGTAGATAAATATGCTTAAATATGCTTATCTAATGTATCTAGTGTAAAACACTTTGAAGGAGTCTGAGAAAAATTCAGGACAGGAAAAATCACTGAAATTTCAAATTATTTCATAGATCAGGAAACTTGTTTGCATCCAGCTTTCTTTGTAAAAACTGGCTTACAGACTAGACTACAGTTAGACCACAGTGAATGAGCATTGTTGCAAAACTAAGGTAGACTATCCCAGGAGTCCATTTTTTACATATGAATATTAAAGCTAAAAGTTGATTAATTAGGTTGAGATGTCTTTCCTCTGCTTTCAAATTTGCTACTGCTGTGTGGTTGGTTTCCAATTGCAATGTAAATCATATAGGACAACATGGCTCACAAAACTCTTCAGTCCTAATCTTGAGTTCATTCTTTGCGAGTAGATATAGCACCTTGAAAAAGAAGGTGGAAGAAATGTTGCTAACCTAGCAACATTTGGATAATGATCTGATTCATCTACTTTCAGGACTTAAGCAAGCTCAGGCTAAGATATTTCCTATAGTCTGGCAATTCTGATCAGACTCATCAGACATGTCAAATAGAAATACTAAAAATTGCCATCTCATAGTCACAAAGGAAGTGCTATATTTTGAATAGTTGATTTTTATTTATTTAACATCAAGTGACTACAGTATTTTTAATATTTGTAATCTTTTGCAAATGTCTTGTACAATTCTAGTGACAATGATAATGTGTTTTTATAATTGTTAGATCAACAATTTTCTAATTCTAATTTTATAATTCTAATAAGCTTAAGATTCCCATTTCCACAGAAAGAATGTCACTATTAAACTTGATAGATTTTGACTCGTTGTTGTTGTTGTTGTTATATAGAAACCTCTTTATCCTTCTTCCACAATATGGGAGTCTTCTGCAAGTGTACATGTAGTATGCATGTTGTAGTTGATAATACTTTAGACATTTAATTTCAATGACAAGTCAGTATTCATTTACATACAAATAACTTACTAAACCTTAATTTTATTAAAAGAATTATATGTTAATTAACTGTATTGATCCTAAAGCATTAAAAAATGTTGCGCTCTCTGCTTCAAGGCCAGGTTAGGAAAAAAAAAAGAGCTTTAATAGCTTACCAAATATGTTCACTGTATGAAGAGTAGTGTTCCTACTTATACAATCTTTGCTCCTGTAGTTCTGCCACAGAATAGTGATGCCTGCTGGAATCTTAATTTGTTTTAGCTGTCTTTGCTTTGATGTTGACCTTTCAACCCATCATATGATTGATAATCAATGAGACATTTTCCCATAGTGGTCATGGTGTCATACTCCTAGATATATGCATCCTTCCACATTTTACCTTTTTCTTGGATGAACCGAATAGGTTGAACTTGTGTACTTTTTCACTATGTTTTGCCTATTTTGATCAGTCTTTTAGTTGTTATTTCTATCCTTTACAGCTGTTTAACATTTCTTCTAAAGCATGAATTCCAAAACTGGATAGATGTTTTCCAGTAAAGGTCTCATATTCTAATAGTTGTTCACTACTGGTGTTAGAGGTAACACTCCCTCCAAATTAGTGTTGGGTAAAACTTTTTTTGTAATAGCAAAATCATTAAAAATGTCAAATTCACAAATAGTTTTATCTAGGGAAAAATAGGAGCCAGATTCACAAGAGTGAAAGAGGAATCTCACTTCCCCCAGTATCTCAGGAATTAGAATAGTCCTTTAAGATATGAGACACCCAGGTTTGTTTATTTTATCTGTCTGAAGAGATGTAAGCCCACCTCTCCTATTTCCAGGAAACTGTCATAATCAACAGACTATTCTGATATGGCAGGGGGTTGGGATACATTCAGTTTCTTCTGTTGATACTCTTTTACTATACATAAGTAATTAAATATTGACTTTAGAGGGACTATCCTAACCACCAAATTAAATTAAAGAGTCAGTTACACTGACTAAGTAATGATTTAAATGTTAACACAAATAGAACAGGTCAGGTCACTCACCTGAGATGTGAGGGACCCAAGGTGAAATCCACTCTGACTGGTTCCTGGCAAGGATTTTAACTAAGGCCATGACTTTCCCAGCAGAGTATATTAAGAATTGTATTTATTCTCTCTGCCACATTATGCTGGGAGACCACAGTGACTTTTACAACTACCATGAACCTTAAATCTTTTTCAGAGTCACTGATTTCCAAAATAGTCTGACATCCTATAAATATACCCTACATTTTTTTGTTTCTAGAAGTTTGACTTTGCATTTGACTGTTAAAATACATGCATGTAACTTGATCATTCCACATGGTCCCAGTTGCCCCTAAGCAGTGACTTCCTTGTTATATCAATGCATCAGACTTTGTGCTATATGGCAATTTATGATTTTTTATTTTCTTATGGATCATTGATAAAAAATAATGAATAACATCAGTCTGGGTGGGAACTGAGCCTTTCAGAACCTCACTAAACCAAAACTCATTGATGATTCCCTAACTGTAACTGCATTTTTCAGTTTATCAATTGGTAGTTTTCAATCAATGTAACACGTATCATGTTTATTTATATAATGCCAGTTTTAATAAGAGTACAACTATATTTTAACTTAAATGCTCTACACAAGTACAAATACATTATTTCATCAAGTCCCACTGAAGCCTTGTTTTGAGGACCTGAGGAGTTAAATGTCAGCTTTTTGGATAGGGGTGATTTAACACTAAATTTGTATTTTCATTTAAATCATAAATGAATCATAGATTGAATCTGGATTATTAAATTTATTATCTAGCCAAAGTACAGGATGCAAATATTTCACTTGTCTTTTCCAAGGATAATGATCCATAAAGTCCTACGGTCATCATGTTTAGATGCATATTTTAATCAAGCTCTTTTAAGCTGGATTTATATATTATGTCCTATATGCTTCCATAGGTCCAAAAGGAATATAGGAGTTGAAATTTCTTAAGGCAACTTTTGGTACCTTAAGTTATTTGCTAAGAGTCAGACCTTCACATTTGAAGACTATTCAGTTTTCTGTATAGAATTAGCCTGGTTCTATGACTTAAGGACCTACATTTCCTAGCTGTTAAATGGGAAGACTTAAGTGCCTAGGAGTGGGATTCACAACAGACAGCAGGTTGAGCTGGGGTGGAGGGCTTGGGACCGAGCGTGGAAGAGAACATACACCCTGAAGCCATCCAGCAGCAAACATATGAGAGGGATGTATATAAAATCTTGCATCCCTTCCAGAGTTAGGTAGCAGGGCTATGCGAAGCTTTGGTCCCTGATTTGATCTGGTGGAGATTCGGCCTGATTCGGTGGCCAAATCTCCAAATCCAAATTGACTCAGAGGACCCTTTAATCTCTCCGATTCAAATCGGAACCCTCCAAATTGATTCAAAGACATTCAGAAAAAATCAGCAGTTCAGAGATAGACACAGCTTTAAATGTTCTTTCTACAAACCTCAAGGTAGCAGGTGGCTCGTGAATGCTGCGATGCTGGGACTCGTGGAGTGTCCCACAGGAGTGTGGGCCCCCCCCCAGTGCACTCAGCAGCAGACCCGGAAGTGGACTAGAAACACTTCCAGTCCACTTCCAGGTCTACTGGGTGGCGCACAGAGCCCTCCCCCACCCCTGCACCCTCTCGGCTGAGTGACTGGTGCCTCCTGGGTCTGGGGGGGGGGCACCTGGGGTACCCTGAAGTCAATCACCAAGGCGTGGGGGGGGGCATGGGAGGGCCTCCAGTGCACTCCCCGGTGGACCCAGAAGTGGACTAGAAATACTTCTGGGAGTGCACAGGGGCCCCCCCACACCCTTCTGGCTTGGCGACTGTTGCCTCCTGGGTCTGGGGGGGCACCTGTGGTCCCCCCATGGCCAATTGTTGAGCCAGGTGGGTGCAGGGGGGGGGGGGAGAGCATGTTCCCTGGCAGAAGTGGATTGGAAGTACTTCCGGTCCACTTCTGGGTTTCCCACCAAGCACGCAGGGGGGTCCCACACTCCTGTGGGATGCTCCATCCACCCCAGCATTGCAGCGTTCATGAGCCATGCTGGTACCTTGAGGTATCTAGAAAAAATCTTTAAAGCTGTGTCTATGTCCAAATTGCTGGTTCTCTAAATCAGCATCAAATTGTCTCAGACGGCCGGAGCCAACTTGAGGTGATATACAAACTGCTCAGTCGTTTGGGTGGGCTGGTGAATGGAGAGGCAGACAAAGCGTATTGGTTGCGAAAAACTTTACTTACGCCGCTAGTAGCCGTGACGCAGGTGGTCCGGTTGCTTAAACAACTCCACGAGTTGCTCCAGCTGGCAAGGCTCAGGCCAGCTAATCCGTCCACAAATTAAGCC